AAAGTTTGTGCAGAGATGGTCTATGAAGACATCGGCAAGACGGTTTCTCACTACGGTGGTCTCCGAATCACAGCCAGTCAGGCCATCGAGTACGCGGCATGGGGAAAGGCCAAACAGTTGGCGTGGGACAGAGGGTACGACTCCGAAGGCAAGACATGCTACATCTGCTACTACGATGCCGGGAACTGCGCTTATGCTGGTTTCATGAGGATGCTTTTGACTCCGGAAGAGCGCCAAGAATGCTACAGAGGGTCAGTCTTGCCCAAGGAAGAGCTCCTGGGTGACACAGTGGAGCTGGCGCTCGGGCTTCTTACAATTGCAATGAGACACCCAAGTCATTTTCCGAATTGGGGTGGCCTTGAGGGAGCAAATGCGTGCGCGAGAGGAATCGAAAGATCATTCTTCCGCTACGCGTCGGCCGAAGCCATCGAGCTGATCACGGTTGACTCCCCGCGCAAAAGGACACCGCCCAAGAAGAATGAAGCAGTCGCTGAGATCGTCAACAACATGTCCGCTGACCTCGTGATTGATTTCACAGTGATCGTCGATGGTGATATCTACCCTGTAGAGATTGCGAGAACCGACGAGACACAGGCCGCTGACAACGTCACGGACGATCCAGGGTTCTCAGTTGCTCCACCAATACCTGCACAGGATGTAGATGTGGATGCGCAACCCGAAGAAGAACAAGGTGCAGAAGGCCCTGATCCCAGGCATGCAATTCGTGAAGGATTTGTCGCGCAGCTTCAGGACTATGTGGGCGTACTCGCTCAGGGCGAAATGTCAGTCGGAAGCGACCGCATCACGTTCTGTGTCGCTTGTGGCAGCGATCTACACACTCTGCCCAATTGCACGGAAAATGCTGCAACACGGGATCTGGTACTTCGAGGCGTCCAGATTATCAAGGAAAGTCTTCTTCGATATCCACGTCGAGTACCTACACAAGAGGCTGAGCCAATGGACGTTGACACCACAGATCATGTGAGTGTTGCATCCTCGGACCGACGACCCAAGGCCAAAGCCCGACCGCGACGCGGAGGCGAAGCCGTACGGGGTGATGTGGTCTTGATCCGTTATGAGAACAAACACAATCTCTGCACGGATGTGGAGAATCGTCGGGGCCTAAATGATGCTTGTGGCGTACCACTGCAGGAATCGGGACCAGAGAATAGCCAGCGAGTGGTGGACATCATTGAGCAGCTTTCGGACCATCGCGACCGACGCCTACCTCAACGAGGAGACCGTCCTAGCTTTGCTTACGATGAAAACACTCATAGCTACACCAATGCAGGCTATGAATCCATCGGCGGCGGAAGGCCAATCCGGTGCGGGATTCTCGACCTGATCCCAACCAAGGGTGCAAGCTTCATCAACAATCGGTGGGACCTCGTGAACGAAGTTGTCCTTCGCAACATCACCCGTCAGCGCAGACTGAACGCGGATTGGGCGCTATCATGCATCCAATCTGACTTGCGCCACAGAATCGCCAGGCGCCCAGGCTCGGAATGGCTTGACAACAGGTGCCAGGTGGCATTCAACAGTGTCATCAAATGTGATGAAGGAGGGTGGGTGATGATCGAAGACTTGGTGAGGCATGAGCCACTATGGACCCATGAAAGCAGACGCATCACCGAAGCGGTCTCAAGGACCGATGAGCAACAGAAGAAGAGAGTGTACAATGAAAGACTTCAGCTATTGTTCCAAGGGAACATGATTGCAGCCACGAAACGCAACAAGGCCAAGATTCGGTTGCAGTTCCTGGGTGTGAGAGTGAAGGACCCCGGCACGGAAGTTCTTGGATCAGCAGGTTCGAACAGGTTGGTATCGGTTCAGGACCAGATCACGGAGATCCAGAACAACGATCATTGCCGGCATGGCCAGAGGTACCTGAACATATGCAACGGCTGGGTGAAGCCATGGGCAGTTCGGGCTACGAGTGGTCACTCTGCGCACTCAGATCCCCAGAACAACTTGCTTCAGTTGGACAAGAACAGGTTCGCAATATCTCCATCTATGACCCTCTTGCAACGTCTTGGAGGTGCGTTCCACGCTACGGCATGCCGCAACTTGGATTCCATTGTCACGCAAGGCATCATGCCTGGTTCGGAGGACCCCGACGGGGACTTCGACCATAGGCGCCAATTCCGAGGCAACCAAGGTGGCAGACTCCACAGCTATTGGGGGGTGTTTGCGCCGTTCGATCACCGGAACGCAACGACCAAGATGCGAGTACATGGACGAGACGCCAAGCACATGCCATTGGCGGTCCTTCATGTCCCGTCGCAGGACCTTGCACGAGAGGATGGACGTATCACGGACAGCGGCATCATGATCGTTGGCCGAACGATACCTTTCCATTTCGTCAAGGAGGTATGGTTTTGCGTCCCTGATCCTCGAGATACACACTCTTTCGCTCTGGTGGAAAAGATGTACGATGAACGGTTGGAGAAAGAGCTGGTGTTGGACTACAATGCATCACCGTTGCTTCCTGAGTTCGAGAGATACCGAACGCCAAGCAAGATCATGGAATTGCTTTGCGAGATGCCTCCTGGACCCCACGACACAAGCAAGGAGCAGATCATTCGAGACCTCACGACTGTCCTGGAGTCCCACAGGGAGAACACGGTTCGGCATCACTACATGGACAAAGGAATCAAGTTTGTCATCAAGAATTGGCGACCCGAAGACCTACGCAGAGACGAGGATGGACGGAGAATGAGGGTATGCCCGGCATGCTACAACATCGTTCCAGCATGTTTCTCCCGATGCACGTCTTGCTGGTCACAGTTCATTTCGAGCGGATATTACCAAGGTTCTCCACAACGGGAGACTCCTACGGAGATCCCCAGTGACTTCATTGCTCAGACAATGGAAGCCGCAGCAGCCGCAGTGCCTGAGGCGCCCGAAGAGGAGCAGGAAGCCATGGAGGTAGAGACCGTTGCGGAACCTGAAGAAATCCCAGAACCATCTGTCATCGCGGAGGACGATCCAGAACAGGAACCTGATGAAGAAATGGACATAGAGCCTGGAGAGGACTTTGATGACGCAGTTCCAGAAGCAATCGCACAGGAACGTCGTCCCGTCTTCATTACCGGCCAGTCTTTGAACATCGATCCTGAGCTACAACTTGCACGTACCGCCATGCAGCCATCTTACTATTCTGGAAAGCGAAATGCCCATTGCATTGACGCGAACATGACCGCTCTGTCGTACATGGCATACGTGGTATGCAGATCCATCTACAAGGCTTGGTCAGGATTCGCAAAGTGGGCGACTATGCCGTTGTTTCAGATGAGGGAAAGTTTCGCACTTGGCCAACGCTATGATGTGCTTGGAAAGTGGGGATCTTTGGCGGCAGTGGATAGGGAAACGGGTGTGAGCAAGGATGTGACTGATGAGGAGATCATTCGCTTTGCTAAAGAACCTGAGAACCTCAAGCAGTATGATCCCAACGGGACTTACACCTTGAAGCGCTTCCGGACGAACCAGATGCTTTCTTTACTTACACGGGGAGCCAACATGATGGGAATTGGCAGGGACAACTTCAACCCTACTACTTACTTGAAGAGCGAAAGGGATGAAGATGTGAAGGCTATGCACTTTTGTTGCCTGAATGTCCTGTGCGAGGTGATTCCAATGGTGACGGGACACCAACAATTCTCAGTGCTACGACCAACGCCAACTGGACCAGTGGACTTCTTGTACATCGACCCCGTCGGTATTCTGCTGACTCATTCTGATCAGTCAGTCCAGACCATCGGCTTGCTGGTGGACCACAGTGTGCAAATGCCTGCGCATTTCATGGACAGATTGAACAGATCCAAGGCTGAGAGACAGCAAAACCCGACGACCAAGCGTACTGAAGCCCTACACCACATTTCGGCCGCTGACTATCTTCCTCCAGGTGGTACATCCATCCTGGACACGCCTGTCACTACGGAGGAACGTGAAAGCGCTTCTTCATCCAAGGGACCTTCAAAAGGGCGTGGGAGAACCGGAGGTGAGCAACATGGAGGCTGGAACTCCAACTCCTACTACGATTACACCGCCGGCAAAGGCCGAAACAAAGGCGAGGACAAGGGAAAGCATCGGGAACAGTATCCAGAGGAAAACCTCCGGCCCTGGGACCGCGATCCTGCGACCACGCGAAGATGGAGGTGAATCAACGCTTGGTCTTCCTCGCCTATCAGTTCGTGACCTCTGAGCTTCGCCCATGGAATGCCATCGCGAATGCTTCTTTCTTCGGTGACGCCTGATTCGTTTGCCATTTCAGGGGATCGTTACTGACGTAGATGAGTGTCACAACGTTTCTAATTGGGATGCAAAGCTCTGATTTTCAATGTCAACGTTGCGGCGGAACATTTTCTGTTGTCCTATCGTGCCATCTTCCGGGTGAGCAGCGTCGGAGACGCAACTCATGGGGGGTGCGAACGGACTGCGATGCCTTGTCAAGTTCTAAGGTGTCACTATAAGAGCTGTGAGCAAGACCGTGTAAAGTGCAAGAGAAGGGGGCACGCTACGCGTCCCTCGACTCTAGGGGGCATGCTACGCATCCCTCATCTTTACCTTTCTATGTGACCGCCAACGCAACGTTTGGCTCAAGTCAATGCCCATAGCTAAGTGCTATATGTGTCTTCTATCCTGAGCAATCAGAGCTATCCCGTTGCACAGACGAACCGCCGCCGGCAGTGAGTGCAAAAGGAACGGCCGCCGGTTCTGCCTGCATAGGATCGCACGTGTGGAAGTAAGAGGGAGAGACAGGGTCCAGTCTGTGGAGAGTGCTAGCCAGCCACACCTACATTCATTACAGCTCTGGTGGGGAGAGCAGCAACCAAGTCGAGATCAATCCCCCACGCACTCTATATTAACATAGAAATTCGGTTGGTCCCGGATGTCCCCGGAATCTTACGTAAGGTGCAAACCTATCGCAAGTACTGTTGGTTGCTGCTGTAGAGGTCGATTTTTGCGCACCCTCGTTAAAGCCCTTGAAACTGACGCAGGCAGCCTTGTCTTTCATGCAGTCGGCAGCAAGCGCAAATGTGGAGGAGCAGGAGATCTCAGACAGTCTCGCACATGCTTCTGACGCGTTCCTGCTAGGTTGGGTTGAGATGGCCAAAAGCTTTGCTTGATCGGCAGAGCTGATAATGCGCAAAGGCTCCACCAGCTGGACCAGCAGAACGAGTGCTTGGTCCAGGATGTCACTCATACTGTCGCGCTTGGATCAGGCTTACAGGTCCCGCCAAGAATTTTGTGTGTTTGTGTTTGTGTGTGTGTGTGTGTGTCCACCCCTGTTTCAAAGGGTAGGTAAATCTGAGTCGAACGAGCAGGGGACGAGGGGCTTTGCCGGCTTTGTGGGGGTCACCGGCCAACGAAGACACCCCCAGGGTGAAAACATACCGGCTCTGTGTCATGTTGGTCAGTCACTCTAGAGTACAGTGCGCCTCAACTGACTTTCTCTGAGCAGATTTCGAGACCTGTGACACATTGTGTCAAGTGTGATCCACAACGGCATTCCCTACGGGCGCCGTGTCTCCCAGAGGTTGCTCTGGTGCTGACTTTCCCGACTGACTGTGTGAGCTGTGGGTTGACTACATGACTTCATATCCTGGCTTGCACATTGACTCTCAACTGATTCATCTGTATGACGGGATTGTCAATCAAGTTATCCGTCAGTCTTGAAACTGATTCCAACATTGATTCCCTACTTTTCTTGCAATACTCTGATTGTACCAGATGACATGTCGCAGGTCTCTGACTTCAGTACCGTAGAGATTGCTTCCAAAGAGCTAGTTGACGCAATGCGAAAAAGATCGCAGTGTTCAAGAAACCAGCTGAGTGAGTGTGTGCGGTGCAAGCAAGTGCCATGCAAGAGTTGTTTGAGCAGTTCTGTGTGGAATGCGTAGACTCTGCGGTTCGCCTGTGTTGAAATGCGTAGACTGCAGTTTCGCGACATGAGTGCAGTTTGCATATGTTGGAATGCGTAGACTCTGCGTAGACTCTGCAGTTTCGTGACATGAGTGCGGCTCGCCTATGTTGGAATGCGTAGACTTCAGTTTCTTGTCATCAGTGCGGTTCGCCTATGTGTTGGAATGCGCAGACTCTGCAGTTTCGTGACAAAAAGTGCGGTTCGCCTATGTTGGAATGCGCGGACTCTGCAGTTTCGTGACATGAGTGCGGCTCGCCTATGTTGGAATGCGTAGACTCTGCAGTTTCGTGACATGAGTGCGGTTCGCCTATGTTTGAATGCGTAGACTCTGCAGTTTCGTGACATAAGTGCCGTTCGCCTATGTTGGAATGCGTAGACTCTGCGGTTTTGTGACATGAGTGCGGTTTGCCTATGTTGGAATGCGTAGAGTCTCTGACATGAGTGTGGTTCGCCTATGTTGGAATGCGTAGACTCTGCAGTTTCGTAAACTTTCTGCTTTGAGACGCTGCTGTCAATAAGTCCGGCAGGGCGTGTGTATGTCAACCGGTGTTTCGAACGGCTACATAATGAGCCCGGCAGGGCTTGTGTGTGTCCACCCCTGTTTCAAAGGGTAGGTAAATCTGAGTCGAACGAGCAGGGGACGAGGGGCTTTGCCGGTGCTCTCCCTGGGTGTCACCGGCCAAGACACCCCCAGGGAGGGGTGAAACGTACCTGCTGCGCTGTGTCATGTTGGTCAGTAACTCTAGAGTCTAGAGTGCAGTGCGCTTCAACTGACTCTTTCTGAGCAGATTTCGAGACTTGTGACACATTGTGTCAAGTGTCAAGTGTGTGTGTGTCTGTGTCTGTGTGTGTGTGTGTGTCTGTGTCTGTGTCTGTGTGTGTCTGTGTCTGTGTCTGTGTGTGTGTGTGTGTGTCTGTGTCTGTGTCTGTGTGTGTCTGTCTGTGTGTGTGTGTGTGTCTGTGTGTGTGTGTGTGTCTGTGTGTGTGTTGATGCGTGCGTGCGCGCAGTGCTGCAGTGCTGCATGTGAGTCTGCTTTCAGCACAACCAAATCTCAACACACCTGAGCCGATGATTCCAGGACACTACGGTGAGTGTATCAGCCTGCCGCGCACACTCGCGGAAGGAGACACTCGGAAGTTGCGGGCGGAAACCGGGCATAATATGGTGCAATCTTCTGGAGGAGGACCGAGAACGGTCCTCTGCCGAGCTACAAGAACTTCTGCAGGCAAGAGATTCTCGCAGCCAGCATCAGTTCGCCTGAAGATTGAATGTGGCAAGAAGGCCGATGACACCCACGTCTTGGACGAGCAGCTTCAAGAAGCCGAGCAATGTCGCTTGAAGCTCGAGGTGGACTTGCCTAGGGCCTAGGGTTAGCACAGAGTATTGGAAAGTTGTCAGCGCTTGGCGAGGAGACCGTTGCAGCTCTGAGACACGATGCCTTGCAACTCCAGGCTTCAGTGGCTTTGGACAGGCCGGATTGATACGACGGAAGTCAAAATCTACACCGGCTCGACCCAGCTCAGGGCCACGAAGGAGGTGCAAGACGAGCTCGCTTCCGCTGTAGAATGCAAGGCGCCGTGATGTGTGCAGCCAATCGGGTTCTGCTGATTTCCAGCATGGCCCACTCCTATTGTCCTAGCACGAAGATGGGTTGATAAGGAAGCCACCACCCGCAGTCGAGACGAACTCTTGGTGGAGGCACAGCATGCAAATGCACAGCTACAGCCGGAGCACGAGCACCCCATCACGCTTTAACGCTGTTGTTGATACGGAATATGAGTAGAATGTGATAAAAGCCGAAGTTTCGCGTCTAAATTGCTGTCAAAACATGTCGCTCAGACGTATTTTCAAATTTCCCACCACGTTTATTGATCGTCAGGCTACCAATCCACGCACGTATGAGGATTTACACAACCAACACGGATCTGTCTTTGGAAATTTCGGAGCCACGTGGAGAAATACCAAGATGAGACTTGATGACACTGACCGGCCCTGTACCACACTCCGGCCCTGCAGACCCTGTGAGTCAAGCAACATGGGATGGCGACAATCTTCACCCAGTACACACTCCGAGCATGGGCAGACCTGTGGCCGATTGGGTCTTAGAATCCTATAGAGATGCATCCCAGCAACGGACACGGAGAAGCTGTATTCGGCATGAATGGTCCTGGCAATTTACAATAAGTCAAGGATCATGCTGTTGCCAGCCTGCCGCCGTTTAAATAGTTCATCCAAGTGCTCCAGCCATCTCCAGCCTCTCGAGGTAATTGCTCTTGGTACTCGAACTTTTGCTCCTAAATACGGTGCTCTGTTGGTCTTCAGTACGTCCAGCATCAGATGATAAGCTCCACATATGTATCTATCTGTCCACCTCTACATAGCTATCTTTCTTTCTCTCTCGATCTATCAGAACCTATCATTATCTATCTGTCCATCTATCTATTTGTCTGTGCGCCTGTCCTGGTTTGACCTGCCAGTCTCCATGTCCGCCCTCAGACCTCAAGGTGAATCCTGGCTCGAGACGCTATTACCGCCCAACTTCGAGCCCGAAGCCGTCGTAAATCGTCATGTGTGTGGGCTTGCCTTGAGCCGGGCCATTGTCTGAAAGTTCAAATCGGAGAGCTCCAAGACCGCAGTACTTGCACGTAGATCGGGATTGAAGGCCCAGAGTGGAGATGCCCTTTGCAATTCCAACCCATGCATGCATGAACACAACTTGGGCAAAGACAACCCATCAAATCTTTGTGCATCCAGCAAGGCTGGCAGGCAAGACCAAACAAATGGCTCATCAAGGAGAAGGGGTCGACTGCTTCACAAGCGAGATTTGTCATTCTGCGATTGTTGCAAGAACTCCAATCGAAAGCACACTTGCTGGTAACCGAAGACTGTTCGGCATGAGCTGAACCAGGGGCCCAGCAGACTATTGTTCTCATCGACGGCCCGAAACTTACTTACCAAACAAGCTATCGGAAACCGGCACAACAAAATGCACACACTGGAACCGTGAACGACACGTACCATGCGCAACACGAACAGACCCTGGCCCGAAGGGTCGGAGGCAGTGTGACTGCACAAAGACAGAGCAACCTAGAGAAACGATGCCATTAGGTATCAGCGGCATCAGTGATAAGCAGACACCCCCTGCGTGATTAGCTCGCTGGGTCACGAAATCGCCTGCTGCTGTTTGTAATGGATTGTCGCTTCGTCGAGGCAGCGCTGGACTGGCAACGTACAAGGGAAATGGAGATAGAGTTGACATCTCGCTCAAGCCTGCGGTGGCAGCCAAAGCTCTCGACTGGGCTGCGCCAGCATTCGACATGTCAGGGGGTGCTGGTTTCGAGGGATACAAACCCTTATAGTGCACGTTGGAAGTCCGATTGCAGCAACCAAAACCAAAACCATTTGGAGCAGCATTCGTTGTGCCAGGTGTTTTTGGGCCAGTGAATCGGACGACGAGTGCTGTTCCAACGGTGTGTGCTCGGTAGGGAATCTCGTGTCTCCCTTGTCGAGCTTGCAGGTTGACTGCCGTTGCAAGCTTTTGGGTGAGCAGCATAAAGAACGATGCCCTTTGAAACATGCCAAAGAACCGTGCTGGTCCGAGCACTCCCAGCCGATCTCAAAGTTGTGTGGGGAGAAGCTTCAGGATGTCAAGAATGCTGAACTGGAACACCGTCACGAATTTTTCTGACGACCAGCACATTGAGGATGGGTAAGTTGCTGAGTTGGGGCCTGATTTTAACCTCCGTCAAGAAGGTTGCTGACGACGTCCTCAGCCAAAAATGAGAAGAACACATGCGTGATCCTGAAGGATGAGCCGCCTGCCGGGACGCCCTGGCATGTCCTCAACGCGGAGAACTCTCCTGTGATAAGACCGCGAACTAAACAGCTCGGCTTTTCTGGTAGACGCAGGAGCAATGACTGTGTATCAATACATCGCCGAATGATGATGGTTTCTCGACGGGTCGTATTGTGTTAATCGGAGGGCTCGCAACGGCAAGTCGTAACTATACCGCAGCCGTTCGACTTAGGCGCATCCGTTCCGCATACCGACGGTGTGCTAGCCTTTTCTTTAGACTGTCACGGCTTGATGCCTTCATCTTCGGACTCGTCCCGCTCCTGTCCTCCCCGCCGTCGGCGGCGAAGGGCCCGGCGGTCCTCGAGTACATCATCCTCGTCTTCGAGGTTGGCCTTCGGCTTAACATTTCAGCCTCTTGACCCTTTCTGTCAGGCGGCCCCGGTCCCGCCTCTCCGCCAGGAGGCCGACCCTGCCTTTATACACTTTCCGCCTTGGCCCATAGCTGGCTGAGGTCCTTTGGTGCTCAGCTCCGTTCCATCATGCATGGTCCCCAGCTGTAAGCACTCTTGTCTTTTGCTTCACGTTGGCTCTTCCCAGGCCTGACCCGGCTCCTGGTCCGCCGGTCTCGCCCCCGAAGGCCTGCTTGCAAGCTTTGTCCGGTCATGCTCTCGCCCTGGCTGCTTGACTAGCCTTGTTCTGCTCGAGCGACCCTTGTCTCCCTCCGCAGCCGCTTTCAGCTTTCAGCGCTCTTTGCCTTTTCTGCCTTTCGCTCTCGGTGATCATGGCCCGCTTTGGTGGACACGCTCTCCGCGATCTGGCCCGTGGTGTGGTGGGAGCTGCCGTGGGCATCCGGTCCGACGTCGACCCGACTCCGGCCGATGTCGAGGCCCCTCCGGCTCCGGACGCTCAGGCTGTCCCGACAGAAGAAAGCCAGCTTTCCTCCGGCCCGGCCTGCCACCCCCTCTTTCCCCCCCGCCAAGCCGGCTGCCGCTCCATCCGAAGCGGCTCCCAAAGCCCCCGCGGCAGCTGCCAAGGCCGCCCCGCCGCCCCTCGAGACGGACCTGTCATTTTTATGCACTCTGGACGATGATGCGCCATCCATGCCGGTCTGGACCAGAACGATGGCACCAGGCCCGATCCCAACCCGGCCCCGCCGAACCCCACCGACGGAGCTGGTGCTGAATCCGGTGGCCTGCGTGTCCTGCCCCGATTCGCCCGCCCCCGCCAGGCACTCTTGACGGACACGTCGGGCATTGACCCGAACGAGCCCCTGGTCCACTCGGATCCCAACCGCCCCGGCTGCACTCCGGTCTTTGTGGATCGGGGCCAACTCACCCCGCGCCGGGCCAATACCGGCCCCTGGACCATCAGCGAAGGCTGGGAGCGCTTGAGCATTTTCCTGCCTGAGACGCCCGGCCCGTTCATCCGCACGGACTCCTGGCCCTGGCCCGACCTCTTTTGCTTTGAGGAGCAGGACTTGCCAAGCTGGGCTCCGCTTCAGGACGCTCCGTCTGTCCTGTCTCACCTGCAAATTCGCGGATACTGCTCGCACGATTGTCCGGCCCGGGGCCCGCACTGTCTCCGCATTTGCCTCCGGCCCGTGATGTTGCATTCCCGGACCGATCACACCGGGCACAAATGCCCGTATTGTATCCAAGACGGGTACTATTGCATGCCCCGTGCCTTTATTGCCCATAATCCAACTAGTCTCCTAAGATCATCGTGTTGGGGTGGCCCGCTAGGCCCGGCGCTGTCCACTTTTCTGCTTCTCGCGGCCGGCCTGATCCGGTCCCGCTGCGGCGATGCCTAAAAGTCGTGGTTCCCCGCCTTGCTGCACCTGCCTGGCTCTTTCAGAGACATGTTGCGTTTGTTATTTCCTGCCGCCAGGCCAACATCGAGCTGGAGACCATCGAGGATGCGCCGGTCTCTTTCTTGCGCGTGGTTGCGCTTTTTGTTGTATGCCCTGCCCAACCAGGTACCCGTGCATCCGCCGGTGGCCCCTGCGGGCAACCCGGCCTTGGCATCTGACCTTGGTTCCTTGCTTCATGGCTTTCCCTTGCAGCCCACCGCTGCCGCTCCACTGGTCACACCGCCCCGCCCGCAGCGGTTGGAGTTTTTGGGCGACGCCTCCCCGCGTCATTGCGATTCTCCGGCCTCGGCCCCTGGGCCCTCGGCACCGCCTCATTCCAGCCCCTCGTCGGCATCCTCTACATCCTTTCAGGTCGTGCCGGTCCCTACTGCTCACCCGGTCGGTCCCCCCTTGCCTGGACTTGCATCATTGCTTGTGCCTCGCCTTGGGCTGGCCTTGCCCTGCCTGTCCCGTGCTTCTTTGTCGGACCTGGCTGCTCGCCCCCGGCCCGCTCGGCCTCGGCCTGCCCCCTTCCCCTTGTTCCGGCCTCTTCGCTGCCCGGCTCTGCGCCCTGCACGTTCGGCTCCTACGTTTCCGTTGGGCCCACCACTTTTATCCTGCCCACGGGTACCCCGCCTGCCCCGCGACCCATTGGCGTACCCCCGGGGTCTTTCTGCCTCTTCTTCGGAAACGCGGCCCTGTGTGATTCCCCCGGCTCCCTTTGTGCATTCTGGCTTTTTGCCACTGGCCACTGACGCCTCCGATTCCTCCTCTATGGAATCCACAACTGCTCGCGCCTTGGCACATTTTCGCAACATGTTTTGCGACTTTGTTCAGGAGCTTGGTGACCGCTGCACCCTGTTTTTGCATACCAAGTTGGTACCCGTGCCTCGGGAACTCCAAGCACGTGCCATCGCGAAAAATGCCCCCAGCACTTTGCAGCTTTACTTGCGTTCCTGGTCTGCCTGGGTCCGGCACTGCATCCTTTCTGGGATTGATCCTGCCGGTGCACTCCCGTCCTGGCTTCAGTTGACTTCCGCCCCTTCTGGCCTT